AATCCGATACAATATAATATAAGCAATCGCAATCGTGGAATAATAACGAAATGGAAGATGTATAGATTGAAGAGTGGATATGAGATTAAAACTCCAGATTATTAAACAATAATATAATATAGTAGAATGAAATTAATATGAAGGAATTCGTACCGGTATCAGAATGAAGAACTGAAGAAGCCGAGAAAATGGAAGCTGGATCGATCTCTTATTATTTCTGTGTTAGTTGCGATTTTGGTTTTGAATGGCGATTCTTGGAGAGTGGGGGAAGGGAAGGTTTTAATCGAATAAATAAAAAGGACGGAAAAGCAAAACACTGACGCCTTACCTTACCACTTACCAGATTCATTGAACCTGGTCATATTTATGTTTACGCTGTGTCACTAGTCCCGTTGGTAAAAGCAAGAAAAATGAATATTATTATTAAGTTTGAATGCTATTTTGATTCATGCACTTTTAAAATGGATGGAATTACTCTATATTTTATTCACAAAATTTTAATATAAATTTTATATCCAATCAAAGTCTTTTAATATAAATTTATGGTTACATTTCAAGATATTTACTGAGTTGGAACGTCGTACTGACATTATGATTAAAATAAGTAAGATAAATATTAAATTGAATTGATTAAAGTACATGAATAAAAAATGATGCTTTGAAAATATAAGAACTAAAATCAATAAAAGCTAAAAATACATAGACCAAAATAGATGTTTTGAAAGTATATGAATCAAAATAAATCAATGCCGAAAGTATAGAATAATGAAAGGGAAAGAGGGTCAGGCGAGCAAAGAACAAAGGGAGAAGAAAATGTTGAGGCATGGAATAAAAATTAGGCTTTTTAGTGAAAGAATCGGAAAAGATCGACATTATTTTCGACATAACTTATCTTTCCCAACGAAATACATTTTCATTTGGAAAGATAAACTTTTAGTAACAATATTGTTTTGTGTAACGTTGCCTTCAAATTCTTCCACCTAAATATATGGCTTGCCAACCTGTTTTTCTAACGAAAAGAAAAAAGTCAGAAGAAAGTCAAATTGTTGACGTGACGAAGATACTAAAATATCATCTGCAATTCCAAAATTTCTTGATAAATTATCTTACGTCGGACTTTTCCTTGCAGCGAAACATCAACCTATATTGTAATCAAACATTTTTTTTTTCAAAGTGCTTAAACACTTTGCTAAAAGTACTTATTGTAGAAGTAGAGAAGTGTTTAACAAAAACAAAGTTTTTTTACTTTTTTTTTTTATATTTTAGAATTATAGTCAAATATAAACCTTTGATGTAAAAGAATGTTTTTACTAATTTAAAAAACAATTTTGCAATTAATTAATAGACACTTTTCGACGTTGTAAAATCATGTCACACTCACATTAATTTTACAAAACTAACCTCGCCTTAACTAACTATATATATATAGTGCTGAATTTTTTCTTTTTTTCTTTTTGAAACAATATATAGTACCGAATTCAACTTTGTACAACAAAATTAAATTATTTATATATTACAGCTATATACAAAACTGACTAAGACCTTTTTTTTATTTGAATAATATTTTTATCTTAAACGACAATGATACGTTCTCTCCTAATTAATTGCTTTTCAATTCAATGCTAACTAATTTTCAGTTTTTAATTTTTATTTTCGAAGGGCAGGTATTTGGTGGCAGTTAATGCTATTAAATATTTTTTTCCTTTTCTTTTTTTAGAACTTTTGATCAAAACATAGGTACATATAATTCACAAAAGGAAATGAAAGAGAGAATTTTTTTTTAAAATTCAAATTAAATGAGATAAATGGATATATTTTTGTCATGTTGGGATTGGGGGAGTCAAAACGACGTCGGAACGAGCTAAGGAAGAGTCGGGATCAAGCCGGAACGCGTCGGGGTCGAAGAGGATGAAAATAAGGAAGAAGCGGACGTTGCAGGCCACTTGGGCCGAGGAGGCAGCCGCGACACTGTCCAGATGAGGGCGCAGCACGGACTTTCCGTCCGTAGCGCCATGACACTATTTCGATGCCTATATAAGTACAATTTCGGGTTTGGGGTTTCTCAGCCGAAAAAGGGGTTTTGCCCAGCCGATTTTGAGCCGTTTTTCGGAGGGTTTCATGGTAGTTTCAAGGGAGAGACTCAAGCATTGGAAGAGGCATTGAGGCTCATCAAGATCAATACATTCGGGGTAATTAGATCTTCATTATTGTGAGTTTTTCATTCCTATTCCTAAGTATTAATTGTGTAATATACTTAGAAGCTAGTGGGCTTTTGTTGAGACCTCTGGGGGATATTAAGGGGAGAGTTATTGTATTCAATCCTAAACAATATTAGTGAATTTGAGTGGAAGACTGGACGTAGCCCTTAGTGGTGAACCAGTATAATTTTGCTGTGTCGTTACTTGTGTTTACTACTTTTCTTCCTATTCGTATATTTGTGGTTGTGTTGGATATTTTCTGTGGAAAGAGAAATTATTCAGATCAATCAATTTCCCAACACTCTTGCCATATTTTTTGAATCTCGACTTGTGTCCGGGAGTAATTTTGACATCATCAAAATCATTTTTGTCATTGTCAAATTCACTCCCCCTTCTATTGACAATGCATGCCAAATTAAAGAATGATTTTAAGAAATTTTTAAAGTATCACTTTTGATGATGATTTTGAAAAATCAATTAAGGGATCTAGATAAAGAATGACTCTGCCTATTATAGAGAAATTTAGAGAAGCTTTAATCTAAATTCTAGCACTTCAATACATGATAGTTTGAGTCTATGAATTTTTTGTCGATGATCAACTTATCTTTCATTGATAGTGACTACGTTCCCACGTTGGTTTCATTAGCGGTGTAAATATGTCGGTTCGGGTCGGTTTTCCGCCAAAACCGATTCGACCCAAAAATGTTCGATTTTCGTTCGGGTCGGGTTGCGTTTGTTTTTCTTCTTCCCTTCCCTTCTTCTTCAATCTAAGGTTTTACTGATCTTCAACCTCAGAAACAGAAGAATGAAAAAATGGTCTCAGAAGCAAACGAGAGAGAGAAAGATGAAAGCAAAATTTTTTTTTACGTATTCTCAAACCCACCCTCCAAACTTTCAACATCAAAATCCACCTTCAAAATCAAAACTCACCTTCAAATCTCCATCAAAACCCACCTTCTTCGAAATACATCAAACCCAACTTCAAATTATTTGTGTATAAATATACGTTTCAAGCTGGGATCCCGCTTTGGGGTCCTAGGTGATTTGACTGGTCACTTCACATCCTCGACATGTCTGTGCTGAGGTCTAGGCATGCATGCATCTTTTGAAGAAGATGGCCACCTGGTGAACCTTGCCTCGTAACAAATTATAATAATACATTAAGGATGATAATATATGTATCATCACCGGTTTCTACCTTGTCTTTGTAAGCACTCACCTCTTCTATGATAGTAAAACTTTAATTGGTATATAAAGTACTTTTATTATCCACTGTTAAACTTGTTATAAAAATATATATACCTTAAAATGATTTATTATATACCTCTGCAACAAGTACTTTTGGGTTAATTTTAGCAAGAAGAAGAAGGGTAGTTGATTTTTACCATTAATATGATATTGTTTTGCATTTGACTAGAAAGAATATAGTGGGTAGATGTTTGGGACAAATCAGATAGTGACAAGTTAGAATTTGGAAAAGACTAATTTCTTAGTTTTTAAAGAGAAATTAGTAAGAGAAGCTTGTTGGACATGAATAAAAGAGATTTAAAAAAAAAAAAAGTAATGCATCTAATAATTATAGAAATTGCCACTACAATTATTGCTACTTCTAATAATTATCATGTCAACTGATTTAATTCAAAAGGAAATCAAGTTTTAGCGAGGATGTTTGGTTGTCCTCTATCTGAAGTCAAAAGTATTGTCTCTCCAAAATTGTAATAACTTTATCTTCCATCAAAACGTCTAAAGGCCTCAAATCAATGAAAATGYTGTATTTTACTTGTGTACACAATATTCCTCTCTTTTAGTCATTTAAAAGTTTTTGCGAACAAGATCTAAATAATGAATAGTTACGAGATAAAATATTTTACAAAAATGACACAAATGTAATAATCTGTATATCAGTAACAAACATAGTTTATATTAGGTAAATTAGTAACACATTTTATCATATACTTTATATTTAAAATATATTAGTAATATGCTAATATCATTGAGCCCATTTACTAGTTGAAAGCTCCATTGGGCATACAAGGGAATTGCAGCCATATTGAGAAGATTTCAAAGCAAAGGATATGGAGTAGTTGGGCTAAAGCAAACTGAAACTTTGAAGATATGGATCAAAGGCCCTTTTGCAATTAGGCATATAAAATAATGACTTAAAAATGATGTCACTTTTAAATTTTGTTATTTTCCAAACAAGTGCAACTCTCCTGTAATATATGAACTTTGAGATTAGGTATTATTGGGAGTTCCCTACACGCCTTTTCACCTTTAAAAATCCCTTTCAAATCTTTATGCACCGACGCCAATCAGATTGGACAATGATCTCTCAATAATCCATTCACATCAACCCCAAATATAAGAGCAAAAAGAGGGAGGTGTGTAGTCGGATAGGTAACCCCGACAACACGAAAAAATCGAGTAACCCAACCTAAAACACGAGAGTTGGATTGGGCTAGGGTAACTAAGTTCTCGATTTGAGTTGGGTTCAAGTCTTCCACCTCCCCTTTCACTTTCAATTCCATTTTCTCCTTGCAACCGCTTGCCTCGACATGATTGTGTCTCTCTCGTCTCTCACCTTTGCTCTCTGTCTCTAGACACAGTGCCTCTACGTTACTCAGCACCCATCGTCTATCTCCATCTATCATGAGTGCCGCTCTATATCTAACACTCATAAACTTATTGGCTCATCATCAGGTAGCAACAGTCCATTAAAAAAAAAGACAAAAATTAAAGAACCTGATCCTCCCATCCAACCTAACCAAAAATTATGAGAGTTGGATTGGGTTAGGTGAGGTTACAAATCCTATTGAAGTCATTTAAGTTATAGATCTGACCGACCCGAGTTTTCAAACCCTCCAACTTATGTACCACTCTAATGTACAGTGTACGATGACTAAATAGTCAAATCCTAATTGCTACAAAAAGAACTTATTAGAGAATTGAATTATATCAATTATGTACCTTTATAGAAAGGAAAAAAAAAAGAATCTTTCCAAATTTGATTTTAAAATGTTAAGAAGAATAAAACACCACTCAATCCAAAAAATTAGGTCGATAGATTGGATAAATTTAATTTATATATTAGATATCTAATATAAAGTGAAAAAGTAAAATCGTAATATTTGAAAAAATGACTTTCAAAGGCTACTTACATCTACCTTTATCAACATTAATAACAACAATAGATGATAAGAAAGAAACTAAAACGACGTGCTTCTTACGTAATAAACTCATCAATAAATCAACATCCAAAAAAAAAAAAAGAAAGAAATCCCCACTTTGGTTGATTCTACAAGAGACTCACTTCCATTTCCTTCAAAATTTCAAAAAAGAAAAAAAAACATCACATCCCAAAACCAAAGTCATCGCAAAAAAAGGCAGCTTTCCCACCCAAATACACACATTACTCCCTACTTTTCAACCCGTCCCCAAGTAACCATTTTTCAAAACAAATGATTTATCAAAGTTTTCGAGACCCCGACGAAGAATTTAAACGAAAAGGTAGATATGTTTCGTATCCTATCTTGATTCAATTTATTGCAATAAATTTCTACTTAGTGGGTCAATTTTGAAACTAGTATTTTGATTCTGTTGCTGTAGAAATTTGATTTCATAGAATTTCGTCAATATTCGCACCAATTTTTTAAAATAAAAGGATCGACAAGACTTGTTTAAGTTAGGATAGTAGTTGAATATAAACGTAGGGTATTGTGAGTTGGCTTATCCTTCCTTTTAGGAATTATCAAAGTTGAATGATTGAATGGTAGTGTGCCCAAGAGATCCCGTGCCTCTGTGTCTTGTAATGAATCTAGGGTCGAGACAAGGTAAATTCAGATCAGGCTGCACGGGGTCGAGAGAGAACCATCGGGATTCTTGACGCCGACCCGAGTCGTCGGCGGATTTAATTCGACCTCCTTACTGTCTTCTGCTCATCCAATCTGATCTCGTTTTATCTTCTTATAACATATTTTATAGAATCTAATTATTGAGAAAGTGAAATTTAATTTCGATATCGAACACGGAATACAACTCCGTTTCGTCCCATCTCATGGTTCTAAATTTTGATTTTTGTATCACAAACCTAACTCAACCTAAAAGTTGAAATATGACCTAAAATACATCAAGTTTGTGTGGAGGGGAGTGGGTCCAGTGAATGCGATGGGTGGGAAAGAAGCCAAAGGGGCATTAAAATGTTATAATAAATGGCTCTGTTTTCTCTCTTTTAATATCAAACAAAACACAGTAGCCAACACAGACACAGTCCCCTCTTGTCCTTTGCCGACGGGGAAAAATTGAGATTCCATCACACCCAAAGAGAAGAACAAAGAAGCAGTTATTTAAAGTGTACCATTTTGTGGCAGGCTTTTTCACCAAGTAAATTTTGACTTCGCCGAATGGAAATAAAGTTCAAATCCAACACCTGCTAACAGTCAATTATTCACACAGAATAGAATAGTTGTGTTAAGTTAGATGAAAATCTAGATTTTTGGGTGGAATAGTATAATGTACTCTCTTCTTTTTCCATTTTAGTCTCATCAATTTTTAAGCTTATTATATGTAATAAATGTCTCTTTCGTTAGATTGGCCAAAATAACAAATCAGAAAAAGTTTCAAGGGATAACTTGAGTGGTTTGGGACTTTAAGGAATAACCTTTAGGTCTTGGATCCAAATCCATGGGACGCAATTTCCATCAAACGTATAACTTCTTGTCCGACTTATAATAAATACAAAAATTGAGGACCATACCATATAGGGCCGTCATAATCAAAAGTCTACAAAAGAACCTCAATTTTAACTCTAATGCACTTATAAAAGTTCTCAAAATCAAGTCTCATAACAAATTTTTGTTAATAATTTGCATTGAAAATGTTTGGAGTTTAGATTTTTCTTGTGAGCATGTTAGATTTTAGGTGTACTCTAAGTATCAAAGTAGTATTCAAGTGATATGTTCATCGAGTCAATAGATATAAATATGTTAATAAATCAATGATTTAATGATACATAATTAATTTTTAATTAACAAATTTTTCTATCCAATGATCTAATTGAGAGTTTTTAATAAAATGAAGAGAAAATTTGAGAATTTTAAAAGATTAAAGACTAACTGTAGAATTGGATTAGGGATCAAATTTGAAAAAATATATATATTAATTTGAACTTTTTGATATAGTTTTTTTTTTTTTTTTATCTATCTATCTAAGATGAAGAATTAAGAGGGAATTGTCCCATCTTCCTTTTTCCTTCACTCCTCACCTTCATCTCTGAAGCATTTCTTAGATTGAAGTGTGGGAAGAAGAGAGAAAATAGGGAACTTTTACATAAAATTATTACAACAACACGTATATATAAAAATTAATATAAATAAATGAACAGACTTTACTATTTATTGGGATTCTCCCAACCAATCGTGACAGAAGAAGATTACTGCAAACAAATTGAGTAGGGTTTAGATTCAAGCAAGCACACCCATAGAGCTAATTATGAAATAAACCAAGAACCCTAATAAGAAAAGAGAGAGATTATAGAAAGGAAAATAAATCAAAGTGCAGAGAGAATGAATGAGAAATATTACCAAGATTAGGGTTCATGTGGAAGCTTGATAGAGAAAGAGAGCAAGATAGGAAAAAGAGACGTCAATAAAAAAAGGAGATATTGACGCGGCTCAATCAAATCACATGGCTACTCGATCTCTAAAAACTTGCAATATTACCATAACCATGCCTTTCAATTGAGGCGCATCAATATCTTCATCTTAGTTCCTCTCCTTCATCTTCTTCCCTCCTCCTCCTCCTAAAACATCTTCGCATGAAAATTAGAGAAGGAAAAAAAGAGAGAATTGTCTTCCATTATCTGGATATGGTGTGTATATATACAAGAATTGGGGACGATGGAG